ATTCACATATCATACAAAATTGCGTTGCAGCAAATCCTTTAAATTTTAAGGTATTCAGAACAGAGCAACATATAAATCAGAAAATATAAGCAGCTATAGGCTACAGTTATAGGACAAAGTTTTACATATATGCCATTATAATTTGTGTTTTATTTTTTAATTGTACGGAATTTGTATACGGAATTATAAAATAAAATGCAAATTATAATCAGGCCTGTTTTAGGCTTTTCCTTATTGTTATATTTTAGACATCCATCAGTTATGGTGATGAAAACAATGACTGGCCATCTCCTCATTCGATGTGCCTTTAGAGAGAAATGCAGGGATTACATAATGAAAGAGTTTCTATTTTCGATTTGAATTATTTCGTTTTAAAGTAATAATTTAAAGCTTTTTGTATAATTTTAATCATGTCTGTGAGGCAATTTGCTGAGTTTAGGTTCATCATTGTGAAGCGCTCCTGTTCAAGCCAGAGACGGCGTGCAGGGCTCTAATCCACTTCATCCAAAGCTGTATCTGTGAGCATGCTCTTGACATATGTATTTTACCGTTTTGTTGAGTTTAAAATGTGACACATTCGTCCTGCTCTCACTGATCATTTGGTCCCCCCCACAACATAAAAGAAAGCCAGTATAACATGTACATGAAAAATGTAGAAACATTGGCCACAACTATGGGGCACCATTGTGCAGCAGCAAGCATCACAACAAAAAAGGAACCTCAAGTTTGATCTAGGAAAATGTGTGCAAATGTATAGGGCCCCATTCCTATATTTTGCCTGGGGCCCCCAATTCACTAAATCCGCCCCTGATGTGACCCGGTCTCTCTCACGCACGCACACACACACAACGCGATACTCTACACGGCGCAAAACTCCGCATTTGAACAGTCAATAGAAAATACTTAAACCATTAAGAAAACATACTTACAGTAGCTGATTTAGAATAAGCGCCAGATTGTCATAGCAAAGTCGGAATTGACCCTTTTGTACAAGCCTTTGCACAGCCAGCCTTGTAGGCTACTCTCCTAGGTTAACAAAACTGTCGTCCATAAAATGTGTTGCACAAATTCGAACATCTGGGTTGTGCTGTTCTGTTGTAAATAAATCTTAACCAATGATTCCTCATTGCATCTACTTTCAGAAGGCCAAATAAAGTGCTTTTGCTTTCGCACAGAAACACACAGCGTCTCCCTGACATGGCTGTATCAACACTACTGCTGTTCCTGAAACCACGCCTTCTTTCTTTGAATGAACATTTGGGCGGCATTACGCAAATATTTGCACATCGTGACGTAGAGATGTGGGGGCGTGTTTGAATGAGGCGTTTTAGCCCGGTTTAGATCAGCCTTCTCGTTTAGATAGAATCCTTTTGTGGGAGACTTTGAGCTTTGTAACTCTGCAGATCTTATACATGCACAAATAGCTACATAACACACTAAAGAAAAGGAAAAATAGAAATCACATCATATGACCCCTTTAAGATGTAATGACATCAATTAAGCTCAAGGAAATAGCCTAGCGATTAAAATTAGGCCTATATAAAAGTTATATAAAATAACAGTTTTTCAAACGATTTCCAATTATTTTTCACCATTTATAGTATTTGTACAGGCTTTGTATTTTTTTTATGTAAAGAATATTGTAATTGGCAATTCATTTAATTTTGAAGAGGATTTGTTATACATGACAACATTAAAGTTTCTTAATCCATAAGATCCATCTTAAGACATAACTGACTTTGTTAATTAACTGTGCGTCATAAAAACATTTTGAGATTTGAAAAGTGGTCTGCATCTCCTGCGATGCATCAAGCCTCTTGAATAAAGCTCACCATTAAAATTAATGCATGGCTCAGTCATACTGTATGTAATGTGTGTATGACTGCAATTAAATTATGAGAATTATTCCTTAACGGCTCATTTCAATGTGTAAAATTGGTCATTGGTTACAATTATTATGGATTACACAACATTGTTGACTATTATAACTAACTATTTTAATGAACTATTTTAACTTTTTAATAAACTATTTTAATTATTTTCAATTATGAAATAAGCCTGTTCCTGTGCAGGATTAAGCTAACAGGCCTGTTGCTATGACAGCAACTGCAAAAAGAACTTAAGGGGTGGTTGACTTTTTTTCTAGGCTTGATTGCGTTTATGGTGTGCAGTCTTACGTGTTAATGCTTCATTTAAAAAAAAAAAAAAAACGTATTATTTTTCACATAATTTCTCCTATGCTGATCATTTCTTGGTTTTATGAAGCCCCTACCTCAGAAATACGCAATGGGCTCAGATTGGTTAGCTGGTCCAGTGTGTTGTTATTGGCTAAACCGCCTCACTTCAGTGGCATGTGCTCTGGTGTTGTATTGTAAACAATGACGTCGTCTATATTGCTTATCAATTTCAGCCCAATTGAGACTCAGAGAATATTAGTGAAGAGGATCGCGCAGAACCTGTGCAAGCACGGCTCTTAATGTTATGTTTTTTTGTTTGTTGTTGTCTCATACTTTTAGATATGCTGCTATTTGTAAATGCTACTGCTTCTGTTAGCTTTTAATATCTGATTAAAGCTTTAACACAGTACGGCAACCGCATGCGCGTCCATGTATAACACTTCTGAGCTGAGCTGATGATCTGAATATATGAGAGAGAGAGAGAGAGAGCTTTCATTTACAACATCTAGGTAATACCACAATGTGTTACTACTGCAATCTACATTTCACAATCTTCAGTCTCAATTACAAAACCTCTATAAATAATAAAAATAATAATAATACCAACAAAAACAGTATTAATAGTAACAAGAAATACAATAACCAAACAACCCAAACAAATATAATTACAAAATGACTTTAGAAAGCCAACAACAAATCATTTTCATTGACTTCACA